CCCCCCCCTCCACTCTTGCATGGCTTAAGCACGGCCGCCTCCCTGCGCCCCCGCTCCGCAGCCGCATGCTACGGCCTCTCCCGCTGCCTGGTCCCAGCAGCGTCAGCGCGGTGGTTGCACGGGGGGGAACCCCTTTTCTGGTGGGGGAACCCCTTTTCTGGTGGGGGAAGGCTCTCTGTACCTGCGCCGGAGGAAGCCGGGACCAGCTGCAGCTCCCTTCCTCCACCTGGGCAAATAATTTGCATTATTTTCCTCTCTCCCTCTCTTTTTTTCCCCAGGTTGCGGCATCGCCATGCTGATCATCTCGGTTCTAATAGCCATATATTACAATATTATTCTGTGCTACACACTTTTCTACCTTTTTGCATCCTTTGTACCTGTGCTACCTTGGGCTTCCTGTAACAACCCGTGGAACACACCAGACTGTAAAGATAAAAACAAACTTTTGTTAGGTAAGTTGGGACAGGCTTTATTTATTTATTTTACCCCCCCCACCCCCGGGCTTTGTGGCCCTGCTGGGTTTCCAGAGCTTTCCTGGGCTCAGCTGCGCCCCTGGGAGATGCCAGTGGAGGCTGCGGATGCCTGTGGCCCCGTGAGGTTCCCAGCACGGAGGAACCCAAATCATTTGGAAGTCATCTCCATCAAAAAAAAAAAAAAAAAGCCCAACTTGGTGGGGTTTTTTTGGTTGGTTTGTTGTGGTTTTTTTTTTTGTTTGTTTGATTTTTGTTGTTGTTTATTTGTTTGGGGGTTTTTTGGGGGTGGTGGTGGTGGTTTTTTGTTTGTTTGGGATTTTGTTGTTGTTTTTTCCTCCCTCTTCCCCCCGAATAAAAGCTCTGTGTAGGGGAGAAAGCAGGGAAGATAATGGTGCAGCCTCTGCTTTCTCTAGAAGACAGAGAACATCTTAAGATGTTTAGTGGAAAAAGCTAAACTCGTTTTTGCAAACGGCCCAAAACATGCAATAACATGAAAAATAAATTGAGTCAATAACCTTCTGGAAGAGGTGTCAGCATGGGTAGTGGGATGTGATGCCCCCCAGCCCTTGTCCTGGGGGCTGGGAGCCATCTGGGTTGGATGCTGCACCCCGGGACTCCCTAATCCCGGCCCGGGGCTGCACCCTGGGCCCTGTCCCCGAGCAGGGTGACCCCCGAGAGGGGGAGTGAGCACTCCATGAAGGTGGAGAGAAGCTCTTCACTTCCTCAGACTATTTTTATGCCTTGGACATTTGGGATAAAGAGGAAAATCGTAAGACCCGGTTCTGTCAGACCCTTATAGCTTCTGTAAGCAAGCTGTTCCAGAAATCTAACACGGGACAAAAGCTCAAGTAATGTGTGTGATCTAATGTTTTTTGTTGTCATTTTACACCCAACCTGAAAACAGAATCTAGACAAGTTATTTTTCTCTTGGTTTTCTTTTCTTCCTAGATTCCTGCATTATCGGTGACCACCCAAAAATCCAAATCAAGAACTCCACTTTCTGTATGAGTGCCTATCCAAACTTGACTATGGTTAACTTCACCAGTGAAGGAAACAAAACGTTTGTCAGTGGAAGTGAAGAATACTTCAAGTAAGATCTTTCTTTCTTTAGAGACTTGTTAATGTTTCTCTAAAATCCACTGCAGCAGACAGCAAATCACTGTTTGGAAGACTAGAAATACAATGGTTAAGGACAACAAATGATACCAATTTTTAATGCCTAGGGATAATGAAAGCTAAATTTCAAACGTTGGACTATGCGTTCTGTTCCTGTGGTGCTTAGCACAGCTGGGGGGTTGGCCCATGCTTGGCATTTTTATCTACTACTGCAATGCAGATAAATAAAATAATACATGGTGAGAGTCACTGGAACCTTCTAGAGGAACCACTGAGAACGCTGAAGCAAAACAAAACACTGTAAGAATTTGCACTGAATCACTGCCTGCAGTTCCTGTCATTAATTTTTTTTCCTTTTTATTTATTTTTTTTTATTATTCTTAGGTACTTTGTATTGAAGATTTCGGCAGGGATTGAATATCCTGGTGAGATTAGATGGCCCTTGGCACTATCTCTTTTCCTAGCTTGGGTGATTGTATATGCCTCCCTTGCTAAAGGAATCAAGTCATCAGGAAAAGTAAGAAAAATATTTGCACTCATTCCCTTGAAGCAGCACGCTGCTTTCTTGCAAGGGAATCACACTCTTGTTTAAGGCACTGAATTACTGACTATTGTTTTCAGTAAATGGCTAAGTATTATGAAACACCTTTTTCCTGGCTGTGTTTTCCTGACTACCCAAAACCTAAAAAAAGGCTAATTTTGGTTCACAGTTTGTTCCCTAGGCTTCAGTAACTTTAAAATGAGCCCTTGAGCTGCACTCAGCAGTTGGATGGGAAAAAGGTGCCTTCAGCAGCTTTTCCTGTTCTGTGTGGTGGACATTAAAATTCTGCCATCACCCCACGTTTCACTGTAGTCGGGGAAATTTTGATGTAACTTAAGATGTTAAGTAAGTAACGTGTTTTAAAATCAGAACTGATTTAAAGTGGTCTGTGGTGAGCGTGAGCAGTGACAGCGTGTATCCTTTTTTCCCCAAGTATTTGTGTGCCATCTTTCTAAAACTCCTCCTTGTGGTAACCCAGCTCCTTGCTCTGGTTCTCCTACATCTCACGTGTCACCTTCTCCCTTGCCCTTCGAAGCTGCAGCTTTCTGCTACACCTCCTGACTAACAGCAATGACAAGAGAGGGAGCATGTCCTCTCATTGGCATGGATACAGCTATATGAATTGGCTATGCAGCTGCCTGAGCAGAAAAATGCAGCTTTTTCTTCAGCAGCTTGGGTGGGTTTGTGGTTTGTTTTTTTGGTTTTTTTTTGAAACCTGCAGGGATGGAATATTTGAGACTTCTCCATCAATGCCACTGCAATTTAACATGCAGATTAAAATGTTGGATTATGACATAGCATAAATCTAGTTTACTTACTAGAGTATATTGAAAAGAAGAAAAAAAAAAAAAGAGAAAAAAGGTTGGAGCAGAATAACTAGATATAACCCGGGATAAAGATAGGGGATTCCTGTTTCTCATAGAGATAGCTATGAGTTTTCTAGACCTGGACACAGTTTTTCCAGTTCCCAGAGCTCCCTTTGCATCTAGAAGCTGACAGTGTCTGTTGGGAGGTGGCTTGGGAATTAGCAGAAAAGCCAGAGGCTCAGAGTGCCAGGGAAAAGTTAGTGTGACAGGAAAAACTGTTTCATGAAGGGCCAGGGTCAAGAAACGGACAAAGTACAGGAGAGTAACTTGAGTTTGGATGTAGCAATAGGTATTTCTTTAAGTGAATCTTAAGGGTCAAGAAAAATATTGACTCCTTGGTGTCAGGATGTCCTTCTTTGAGACAAACTAAACCACAACACAGGGATAGAAAACCTTTATTTATGCTTAGATGGGTTCAGTGTATTCACTGCACAAAAATTAATTAGGGCAATTTCTTGAAACAGCGCTTTCTGGGAAAGCAGTTTCAAAAGCCACTTCAGCTCAGAGGATTCTGGCCCCTGTAAGATCCAGAGGTTAATGTGAAAAGGATTTGAAATGCTTTTGGGTAGAGTGTACAGCTTGACTGGCTGTGATCTAGCCATTTTATTTGCCCAGAGCTCTGCTCTGTATTAGGTAATTATTAAGACATTAAACACAGAACTTCTGTTGTTTATTTAGACATAATGATGATTAGGTCTAGCTGGATTGTTCTACTGATTTTCCTTTATTTGCATTGCCACCATAAATATTTCATGGTAATATGTAATAATTAGTAAAAAAAAAAGTATTTAGGCTTAGTTAAATACAGAGAAATATATCGGAAAAAAATCAGAATTTCAAGTGTTACTGAATGGCATTGCTCATTTCATTTCCATTGTGCTGTGCTAGTTTGGGCATTTAGCTGTAAATTCCTGTTGTTCCTCTCCAGACTTCCATTTCTGCTTTTTCTTTCCCTCTCTGTCTAGAACCTCAAGTCTTACCTCTGTTGCTATTGATGTTATTCCTGTTTCCAGCAGCAAGAAGAGCTATAAAATTTCAGATTTCTCAGGAATTAACCCCATTGTCTTCCTAGTTTATCCCCTGGCTGTTGTCTCTAAGCAATTTCTTTATTTGGGCAATAGCATAGCACTTGTATTCCCTTTCATATACACACAATGAAACCCTTTCAATGATTTTTTTTTTTTTTTTAAATTTATTTTTTTTATTTGTCCAGGTGGTGTACTTTACAGCTACATTCCCCTATGTTGTTCTCATCATCCTCCTTATAAGAGGAGTAACCCTCCCTGGAGCTGGAGCTGGAATCTGGTACTTCATCACTCCAAAGTGGGAGAAGCTCATTGATGCTATGGTGGGCTTACTACTGCTCTTCTAACTCTGTTAGAAATCTGTGTGACTCATTCACCCTTAGTGCCTGTTGCAAGCATTTCCTATGTGCAGAGGCAGGATTGTCATCTGTGAAACTTGTTCTTCGTCTCATGTGGAGTGTTGTCACAATGGATGTTTGTTGTTTGTGTGCACGTAACACTTTTTACGAATATTATTATAGATATGTTATTTACTTCACGTTTAATATTTCACCTGAATCTCTGAGTAGGTGCATTTGGAAAACAGGGAATTAAAAAAGAAGTATGCTTTTTCATACACTGGTGTCTGTTGGATGCTGCCTTGACTTGAACAAGCAGTTGAAGCCTTTAATAGGTAACATAGAAAAGTTATCTGCATTTCTTGCGAAATGCTCTGAATAGGTCTATTTTACTCATTGAGCAAATCTTGTTCTGAATAATGCATATGAGACATTAGGTTAACCCAAATTAAGCTATACATCCTAATCTAACTCCTCAATGGCATATATTCATAGAATTGTATAATGGTTTGGGCTGGAAGGGACCGTAAAGATCATCAAGTTCCAACCCCTCTGCCCTGGGCAGGGACACCTCCCACCAGACCAGGTTGCTCCAAGCCCCATCCAGCCTGGCCTTGAACCCCTCCAGGGATGGGGCAGCCACAGCTTCTCTGGGCAACCTCTTCCAGTGCCTCACCACCCTCACACTAAAGAATTCCTTCCAAATATCTGATCTAAATCTCCCCTCTTTCAGTTTAAAACCGTTACCCCTCATTCTGTCCCTCCACTACCTGATAAAGAGTCCCTCCCCATCTCTCCTGTAGCCTCCTTTAGGTACTAGAAGGGGCTATAAGGTCTCCTTGGAGCTTTCTTTTGTCCAGGCTGAACAGCCCCAATTCTCTCAGCCTGTCCTCATGGGAGAGGTGCTCCAGCCCTCTGATCATCCTCATGGCCTCCTCTGGACTTGCTCCAACATGTCTGTGTCCTCCTTGTGCTGGGGGCTCCACAGCTGGACACAGGACTGCAGGTGGGGTCTCACCAGAGCAGAGTAGAGGGGGACACTGACCTCCCTCACCCTGCTGGTCACACTTCTGATGCAGCCCAGGATATGGTTCAGACTCTTTTCTCTAGAAATATAAGAAGGATTTTTAGTGACACCTCAGGAAACCTGGTGATTTCCACACCCCTGCCTAAGAATTTTTTCCCCTCTATCAATAGAGGTGTGATATTGTACTGATAGATTGGTGATTAAAGCTGAAAACAATTTCCTGGATTAATTGTGCCGATCTTAATATCCTTAATATCTCTGCAATAATGGGTATTTTGATCTTTGGTGATGGGAGTATTGAATCTTTTGCAAACAATACCCAAATTAATTTTGCACTAAATACGAGCATTTTTGGATCCTACGTTGTGCAATAAAGGAGGTGGGAACCACTGACTTTTGCAAAATGGGCACCCTGGGTAAGTGTTCGATAATATTCAGGCAGGCTTCTGTTTTCAATTTTCTTTGCAGTTCAACAAAATAATAGCTGTGTATTACACTCAATTAGACAAAGGATTGGCTGGTTGCTGTCTGGTGACTTTTAAAGTAGCATTTCAGTAATATCTTCAAACTGCTTAGTGTGTTTATAAGTACACCTGTCTGTGAATTTGTGTGTATCTCCATTTCTGCACTGTGGACCTGGGTGGAAAATCAGACTTTGTAGGAAAGTTTGTAAATAGAAATACCAATGCTTCCAATATTTTGCAGGTGATAAGTAAGACCAACCCCCTTGAAATTCCAGGCAATTCAGATATGTTTTATCGAAATGCATTTAAGGCTTTGAAGAACTTACAGAACAAGGAATGCTGTTTTGGCTGTTGGTTTGGGTTTTTTTTGAGAGACTCAGCTGAGCAGGTCTTTTCTTCTGAGGGGAGGAAGCTGGGCCCTTGTGTCTAAAGAGCCTTACCTTATGCTATGCTGTTTGATGTACCCCTCTCATTCATAAATAGCACATCAAGCTACACCGAGGCTCTTTTATCAAGAAGATAAAGTATTATTTAGGGCCACATGCAGATAAGTCATCAGTACCTCATGGAGTTTTTTCCTCTTGATTTATAGTTTCTTTGCTGCATGTACTCAAACTGACATGTATCAAGCAATATAGATTGGATATTTGTGCTTTCCATATACAGCAAAGGTTATATTGTTCTTTTATATGAGCTCAGCAAGAACAGTACTCCTCATCAAATGGGCACTATGTATTTCAGGGTAGGATTTCGCTTTTAAATGTTCTGTTGACATCCATTTCTCTCAAGTTCATTTACAATTCTTGTGTGTTAATCCCCTATCAGTAACATTTAATAGTGTTATTGATCTTTCTGACTCTTTCCTGAAGCTAGTTCCTTTCCTGTCTATCTTACTTAGGTTTGGAAGGATGCTGCCACTCAGATTTTCTTCTCCTTATCTGCAGCATGGGGTGGTCTAATTACTCTCTCTTCCTACAACAAATTCCATAATAATTGCTACAGGTATGTGAGAGTGAAACCCATCGGTCTTATTTTATAGATCTTCTCCAAAACCAGTTATCTTCCAACTTGCAGAAATCTGGTTTGAAAAGCCCTCTACTTTTTTCCCCCTCTTCTTTTCTCTCCCCCCCCACCCGCCCTTTTTCTTTTCTTTTTTCCCTTCTTTCTCTTTTTCTGTTGTGTTCTGTTTCTCTAATCTTCTTCAGTTTTGTATATTTTATCTTCTTCCCAGGTCCTAATCTACTACTCTCAAGATGAGCCTTAGGCTTATTATAGTCCCTGTTGGCTCTTCATTTTCAGAATCAGCAGTTTTAGGTCAGAAAGCAATCTGGGAAGCTGTCAACAACTCTGAGCAGTGGTATGAAACCCTGCCAGTTGGCAGCCTCTGCTGAAGACCAACCTGTGTGTAGAATGGGCTGAAGTTTGTAATTGTGAGATGTGCATGAGTTTAATGTGCAATTTCCATATATGTAATTTTTGTCTCTCCTAAATGGAATTATTTTTTCCTATTACTCTTTCTGGAATTTTACACCTACAAAGTTATTTCAAGGTGTGAAATTTAAGATCGCTTTTATTTGTAATCACCGAAAGTTATTTTTCCAAGGAAAAAGTCACTGTTCTGGTGGCATAGTATAGTTTTTCATAAAAAAATGTGCTAGATAAATGTCTGCAGAAGGGAAAAAAAAGAAGCAAGTGGCATTATTAGAACATTTCCACTGCTATTTTATTGTCTTTAAAACCAATCTTGTTTCTGCTCAAGCAAATCTTTACTGATTCCTGCAATGGCAGAGCTGCTGATTCAGGACAGCCAAGAGCCTGCACAGGGACTGACAAGGGTGTGCTGAAAATCTTTCCTGAACCAAGACTTCAAAGCACACGCTTCCTGGGATTTGAGTTCCCATATCCTATAACTTCTAAGAACTGTATGCAAGAAACTGACCTTTAAAAAGAAATGGGGATTGGGATTTTAAAAAAAGAATTTCAAAAACATTTCCTACTATTGTTCAAAGCTAATTTAATATAATTATCCTAAAATATGGATGAGTAACAGTGTTGAGTACTCAGTAACTCCCGCCCAGCAGTCCTCTGGGTCCTGTTTCTGAAAGCTTTGATTATTTTTTTGTTTGTTTTGTTGGTGAATGAATATGTTCAGAGTATCAGGGCAAAAAATGGGAGAAGCATCATGCTATCTTTCTGCATTAATTTAGCGATGTTTCATGGCGTTTGGGAAATTTTAATGCAAATTTTGAATGAAAGGCATGGTAATAAAGTATAAAAATCTTATAGGTCTAATACTAAATACATGCTTTGTATGTATTTAGTATGAGGGATATGGAAGACTGAAGCAGAAATAATTAGAAAAGCTTAGTTACTTCTAATATTTTTAATTTTACAACACATTTTGAATACTGAAATGAAGCATGACTGTTTTCTCTTCCAATTTTTATATTCATTACATTCTAGTACTGCAGATAAAATGGCAGTTTTCAGTTACATATTCATTTTAAACATGATTAAATAATCTATAATTGCAGTAAATTTACATAAATTCACTTCATAAGCCATACCTAAAATATTTTACTTAAAACTTTTCTGGGTTTTGGAGGAAGATTAACACATTATGATTCCAAAGAGAACACTGTCATTTTTTTCTGTAGACCTGAAGAATTGACCCAGTCATTCCTGGTAAGAGATGCTCTGTTAGAGATTCCAAAAGTTTGTCAGCTCAGTGAGGTTCTTGACAGCCTTTCAGGTTGTATTTCATTCTGTTCCTGACAAACAAGTAGCAGTAGGAATAAGCAATTCTAGTCAACTTAAGAAAACAAACCAAAACAAACCCACCCCAAAAGCCAACCACTTTAAGGTGAGTGTGTTCCTAAGTTGTAATATTTCAAGGGGAAGTCTTCTGGACACACATATCGCGAACTAAAAATAAAATTTTTATCAAGAATGTAATAATTATGGATGGGGATCATGAGGGCTTGTTTCCTGTCAAGTCACATGTACAAGCCCAGTAGAATATGACATTCAGGTATGGATTTCTTTAGGTTCCCTTAATAATAACAACAGAAAATCGTACCAGTGAATCCTCTACAGATGGGCAGGCATTGAAATGAGCCCTGCAAGGTACAGAAAGCTTAACCCTGAACTTTTATGTATAAATATAGGAAAGGTACAGGACAAAAATCATCTTATCTGGATGGTGGTGGTTAGTCCATATGTAATACGGTAAGCAGATACCCACATCAGGCAAAGAGTAAAACACTGCATTATGGATCATATCATCACTGCTATCCTCTTCAGGGAGGCCAAAAGCAGAAGTACTTCTCCTCCTGTGTGGCCTGTGGCTTCCTATATGGCACGTGGGTGATGGGACCTTGCACAGCTGATTCCCAGTGATGGTGTGAAGACTCCTGTCATCTCTGATCAGCATCAAATGTACCTGATAAGTGTAAAAGTGTTCCTTCAGCAGCGTTCCCACAGGATGTGTGTGCTCATGAGAGAGACTCCTGAAATGTGTACAAAACCTTCCCTTGCATGTCTTGCAACAAGGTGACATGGCTTCTTGTTTTTTTCTTTTCAGGGACACATTGATAGTCACATGTACCAACAGTGCCACAAGTATATTTGCGGGCTTTGTCATCTTCTCAGTGATTGGCTTCATGGCAAATGAGCTCAAAGTGAACATCGAAGCTGTGGCAGACCAAGGTAGGGTATGCTGCTGTTTTGTTGCTTCGGCAGCACCTAGTGGCAACTTCAGCTCTATTTTTAATCATGACATTGACACTGGAGGTGGGAATGACAGCTTCAAACTGGAGTGGATTAGTTTGCCTACGAACTACTCGTAGGCATTTCAGTATGGGAGAAGGTACACTGGGAAGTCAAGGTATTTCTTGAAGCCTTCCTATCGCTTGTTTGGTAAGAGAAAGAAGCAAGCTGAGACTCATTTCAGATCTTTATCTAAGGGGGATAGGGTGAGATGTCTCCTTCATGTAGTCTAAGTGGTCACTGGCCTTCTCGTTTGTCTCTGCTGCTGCCTTGTCCGGTCTTCCAAGGTAAAGGTGTCCTTGATGGTGGGAATCTTGAATGAGAGGACAGTGGGCTTCGCTTTGCGGGGGGTGGAAGAAATGTGGTGTGAGAGGTGGACTGAGCTTCTGCACTGCGGGGAGCAGGGAGCTGCCTCCACAGAAAAGTAACAAATTTCTGAAGAACTGATTAGAAGATTTTGGTTAGTGAAGTGGGATGGTTATGAATGGGGATCTGAAAGGTCTTAACTGGTGGAGCTGAATGTGAATGGGAAGAGAATGACTGATGGGAGAATTGGTGCTGTCATGTATGATATGGTGTGAAGTAGCAGGAGACCGGAAGGGAGAAGCTTTTGGGATAAGATTCAGAGAAGTTTAAAGGGTTGGAAAAATCTGATGGGACTGTGGAGGGATAATTGTTAACCTCAGTCTAGTCCTACATTTCCTGTGAAATGTGCGGGACTTCCTAAGCCAACTCCCAGATTTTAAACTGTGTTCAAAAGACAGATTTGTAATAACTTTGTAATAACTTGTGTATATATTTACAGTCCCCCTACCATAGCTTTTTCTTTGTGCGCATGAGGATCTTAAGTGTATTGAATCAGCTTTCAGCACAGATCCAGTCATTTCCAAGCACTAAAAGGAAGTGATTAATATCTTCTCCATGAGCCATGGGGATGATTCCCAATGCTACACACCTCCAAGCATGGTAGCACAAAGTAAGAAGAAGCTCTAAACGGGAGGACGGCAGAGTTAAAAAAAATGAATATTGCATACTCATGGCTTCTATACGTGATGTGTTTCACTGTCTGCGTTATCACTAGACATTTTTCTGACGGGTTTGTTGTGTGGATAAATTCAATGCTGCAGGGTGCTACTTATAACCTAAGATACCTGACTGACTGAGCATCATCATTCAGAAATTGTAGCAGTGAGTTGACAATAGCAGATAGAAGTGAAGACAACTTTACAGTTTTCTTTATGGTAGCATTTGTGTGTCATTCTGGATAAATTAGGTATTAAGATTAATCTGCATTTAACAATGTTGTGGGAGCTAAATGCAAAACAGACAACATGACACAGAAATCCTGTAGCTGTAGGAACAAGAGGCAGTGAAGCATTCTTTATTTTTTCTTGGAAAGTGCCTTTTCTCAAAACTTTAATGTTTCTAATTTTTTATTAGAAATCAGCTACTACAGGTGAAAGGAGGAGAACAACAGAGGAGGGAACAAGATGCTGCTGGTTAAGGAAAAAAAAAGGGGCTGTTCGTTATCTTTTGCTTATTTCTTCTCTGTAAACTGAAACATCTGAAACATGGATAATCCAGCAGACTTTGCAGTACTTCTGACCTCAGAGATGCAAATAATGGTGCCAGGTCACATGTAATTTCTGCAGCTCCTTTGGTTGATACATGGTAACCCAGATGTTAAGGTGAGGGGAAGCTTGTGAGCTGCAGTTCAGTCACAGAGAGTTAGTTTGGTGCTTGCACCCATGTTGGGATGGGCTGCTATAACCAGGCTGTGGATTCAACTAGAGGATCTGAGAGGAGAATTTTATAGGATGGTCAGCTGGCAAACTGTTCTTGATAGCGAGTAGAATCATAGAATAATCTGGGTTGGAAGGGACCATTAAAGGTCATTGAGTCCAATTCTCCTGCAGTGAGCAGGGACGTCTTCAACTACATCAGGTGGCTTAGAGCACTCTCCAACCTGACCTTGAATGTTTCCAGTGATGGAGAATCTACCACCTTTCTGGGCAAGCTGTGCCAGTCTCTCACCACCCTCATCATTGTATATAGTCTAAATCTACCATCTTTTAGTTTAAAGCCATTACCACTTGTCCTATCACAACAGGCCCTGATAAAAAGTCTGCCCTCATCTTTCTTATAAGCACCCTTTAAGTAGTGGAAGGCTGCAGTAAGGTCTCCCTAGAGCCACCTCTCTCCAGGCTGAACAACCCCAACTCTCTCCCTCATCTTTCTTATAAGCACCCTTTAAGTAGTGGAAGGCTGCAGTAAGGTCTCCCTAGAGCCACCTCTCTCCAGGCTGAACAACCCCAACTCTCTCAGCCTGTCCTCATAGGGGAGGTGATCATTTCTGTGGCCCTATTCTGGACCTGCTCCAAACAGGTCCATGTCTTAGACCCTGTCAAGTAGTAGGGGATACTGCACTTGCAAGCTAATGCGATGTCAGTTCAGTCTTTAGTGTCTCGTCTCTTCTTTTTGGTCTGCTAGCTAAATGGGAACAGAAAAGTTTCACTGTCATCTTCATTTTCCGGCTGGATTAGACCTTATGTGAGGCCAGGTGTTTTAGGAGTAATGTTTCCATTAATGTTTCAATTCTACCTCCATCCTGAAATGAACGGCAAATAAAAAAAAAAAACACCTAGCCCCAAAATCTTAAACCACACTGTAGTTACAGAAACTATTTTAAGGGGTTGGTGGACAAAACAATGAGGAGAAATGCTCTGCTGGACCTTGTACTAAGAAACAAAGAAGGTCTGGTTGGGGATGTAAAGGTTGAGAGTATTCTTGGCTGCAGTGACCCTGAGATGGTGGAGTTCAGGATTGTGTGTGGAAGTAGGCCAAAAAGCAGAATTACAGCCCTGAACTTCAGGAGAGCTGACTCGGGCCTCTTCAAAGACCTACTTCGAGTAGTCCCATGGGCTAACGCTCTAGATGGAAGGGGGGTGCAAGAGAGCTGGCTAATATTTAAGCACCACTTCTTCCAAGCTAAAGATGAGTACATCCCTAAGAGCAAGAAGTTGGGCAAAGGAAGCAGGAAACCTGCTTGGATGAGCAGGGAGATTCTGGAAAAACTCAGAAAGATGAAGAAAGTTTATAAAATGTGGAAAAAAAGACTGTCCACTTGGGAGTATAGGAGCGCTGTCAGAGTACACGGGGATGCAATGAGGAAGGCTAGGGTCTGCTTGGAATTAAACCTGGCAGGGGATGTCAAGGACAGTAAGAAGGGCTTCTTCAAGTACATCAGCAGTAAAAGGAGGACAAAGGAAAATGTGGTCCCTCCGCTGAATGAGATGGGTGCCCTGATGATGGAGGATGCAGAGAAGGCAGAGCTGATGAATGACTTCTTTACTTCAGTCTTTACTGCAGGGCTGGCCCTTAAGAACCCCAGACCCGGGAGGTAGAAGAGAGTGCCTGAGATAAGGAAGACTGTCCCTCAATCACAGAAGATTGGGTTAAAGATCGTTTAAGGACTGATCTCCCTTCAGGTTTTAAAACCTTGAATGAAATTGTTAATGGAAATCAGAAGGATTTTTTTTTTCTTTTTTCCTCCTAAAATATTAATCTGAAATACATAATATTTTTTTTCATTTAGAATCTTCATTTCAGCAAAAAAATCATGCACCTGATGAACAAATAAAATGCTTTTTCATGGAGGGCAAGACAGGTTAATCTATTTTCATTCTAGTCTCTCAGTTTATTTGAGAACATACTCCAGTTGAAAAATTTTAGTAAAATGAAAGTTCAAGGTCATTTGACATCTTTCTGTTTCAACACATGTAAAACCTTTGACTTTTTCCTGGCTTTAGTAGCCTTTTAGAAAGAGTTCATATGCCCCTAAATCTCTGAAGATGGAGAGGATGGGAGCCAGTCCCCCTGTGACTGTTCACCTGTGTCTGGATGCTCCTGAGCATGTCCTACCTTGGAGAGTTATGAGGGGCCGGGATGGAGAGATGTGCACTTTCATATTCTATAATTAAACTTTCCCTAAAATTGTGATTAATAGGAACTCATTATTCTGAGACATAATTAAACTCCTACATGTAGGAAGCTAGTGCAAACAGAGCCCTTATCTCTAATAGTGAAGAAGAAATCTTTAATCAAGGGATGAAAGCACATGTTCATGAATACGTAGTAGTTCTATGTGTACCGTCCTATTCCAAAAAGCCATTTTTCTGCAGCACATTTTAAAGGCATCAACACTTACGAAGTCATCTATATTTGCTGGGGTATTTTTTTGGTGGTTTGGGTTTGGTTTTTTTTTTCCATGTTTTTAACTTTCTTCCTCCTGGAATCTCTGCTAAGGCACGTGGAAAATAAGGAGGTGATTGGTGACAGCCAACATGGCTTCACCAAGAGCAAGTCATGCCTAACAAACTTGGTGGCCTTCTACAAATGCACTACAGCATTGGTAGGTAAGGGGAGAACAGACACCGTCTACCAGAACTTGAGCATTTGATACTGTCCCGCATGATATCCTGGTCTCTCAATTGGAAAGGCATGGATTTGATGGATGGGGCCACTCAGTGGATAAGGAACTGGCTGGATGGTCAGTACTGGGACCAGTACCATTTAACATGTTTGTCAGACACATGGACAGTGGGATTGAGTGCACTCTCAGCAAGTTTGCCAACGACATCAAGCTGTGCGGCGTGGTTGACGCTGGAGGGAAGGGATTGCCATCCAGAGGGACCTCGACAGGCTTGAGAGGTGGGCTTGTGTGAACCTCATGGCAATCCCAGGCAGAAATACAGGTTGGGCAGAGAATGGATTGAGAGCAGCCCTGAGGAGAAGGACTTGGAGATGTTCATGGATGAGAAGCTCAATGTGAGCAAGCAATGTGCACTCACAGCCCAGAAGGCCAGCCCTATCCTGGGCTGCATCAAGAGAAGTGTGGCCAGCAGGTCAAGGGAGGTGATTCTGCCCCTCTGCTCCACTCTGGTGAGACCCCACCTGGAGCACTGTGTCCAGCTTTGGAGTGCTCAGCACAGGAAGGACATGGACCTCTTGGAACAGGTCCAGCGGAGGGCCAGGAAGATGCTCAGAGGGCTGGAGCACCTCTGATGTGAGGACAGGCTGAGAGAGTTTGGGTTGTTTAGCCTTGAGAGGGGAAGGCTCCCAGGAGACCTTATAGCAGCCTTCCAGTACCTAAAGGAGGCTACAGGAGAGATGAGGAGGGACTCTTTACCAGGGAGTGGAGGGACAGAATGAGGGGTAATGGCTTTAAACTGAAAGAGGGAAGATTTAGATTGGATTTTAGGAAGAAATTCCTGTGAGGGTGGTGAGGCACTGGAGCCAGGTTGCCCAGGGAAGCTGTGGATGCCCTTCCCCTGGAAATGTTCGAGACCAGGCTGGATGGGGCTTTAAGCAATCTGGTCTGGTGGCAGGTGGCCCTGCCCATGGCAGGGCAGTTGAAACCAGATGATCTTTAAGGTCCCTTCCAACCCAAACCGTTCGATGAACTTTCCTATTTGTCTTCTGTTCAGAACAAACTCCAAACCCTTCACAACTTGTCTGTGGAGATTATTTCACATCCTGCTACAACTGCGTTTTTCGCAGTAGGTGAGATGGCAACAGTTCTCTCCTGAACAGAAACAGTGTGGGGGAGCTGTGGGAAATGCAGTAACCTAGATCAGAAATAGCCAGGACAAGAGTGTGTTTGGAGCCCCTTTTCGTGGCATGGGGCATGGCATTAGCACAACTTGGATCTCATTTGTATTTTGCCTGACAGGAAACATCCTTCAGAGCATTTGAAACGGGCACTCCTTTAATTGGGATAAATGGAGAAGAAGTGCCATCTACTGTAACGCTACCGCCACGTTACTGCAGCCTTTTCTCCCTGGCAAATCTAAATCTTGTAGAAATATTTTTTTCTTTACAGTCAATAAAAATTATACCCCAATATATCAAACCAACAGAGAAAGGAAAATTCCTGAGTAAGGCTCTACAAGACCTCCATCTCTTTATTTTTTTTTTCTGTTGTGCATTATTTCAGAATTTCTTTTGGATTTTTTTAGATCCTCTGTAGTTATTACCTTGTGTCAGGTATCAGCTCCGTGCATCTGTTATGTTCTCTCCTTCTCATTTATCTGTGTGCTGATGAGTTAAAGAAGGGTATTTACTTTCCCAGTCATCCCTGGAGTACTGAGGTGTGGGTGGTTGCTATGTTGATCTAAGGCTGGGTTGCTCATTGGCAGGGACGGTGGCAGGAATTTGATCATAGGGCAGGAAGGAAACGTAGCTGCAGTACATGATTTGTGTTTATTTTTCAGGATTGGATCAATATGTTAGTATACTGGGCTGCAGCTTGGAAAGTAGGAATGTACGAGTGTTTTGAAACTTACAGCCAATATAGAAATTAATCATGTGGGGCTAAATTCTGCTATGCTTAAATATTTCTGTAAATAGGTGAGACTGAACGGGATCTTTTTTACTTATATCAAGCAAAGTAATATTGCAATATTAGACTTTGAAGTATGACTCTTCACCTCTCCCTCTTTTCCATTTAGTCAACAGTGTTAGTGCGGTGCAGGATGTCACAGCCTGTTTTTTTTTCCTTGTTTCTAGGTCCTGGAATTGCTTTTGTGGTTTACCCAGAAGCCTTAACTAGGCTTCCCCTCTCTCCGTTCTGGGCTATAATATTCTTTTTGATGCTTCTGACACTTGGATTGGACACTATGGTAAACTGCTTTTGTTTCCCATTCTTTTCCCCTTGCATGTCCTATTTATTTGTTTGGAGGACCACGAGATTAATCGCTATTTTCCACGCGGTCAGTGAACCGCTTTCCAAACAGAGGAATGAGGTAAGGCCGTCAATGCTGAAATAATTTGGGTGAAGCTTTGGTGTTGACATCTGAGCATTTAACACCTAGGATTCAAAATACTGTCTTAAATTCCATTATATCAGGTTGGACTGCTTTGCATGGGTTGCGTGCGCTGAAACTAATCCTTGTTATTTTATCTTTCAGTTTGCCACTATCGAGACGATAGTGACCTCCGTTTCGGATGAGTTCCCCAAATACTTACGTACGCACAAGGCACTGTTCACTCTTGGGTGCTGCGTCTCCTTTTTCATCATGGGATTTCCTATGATCACTCAGGTAATAATATTATCCTTGAGCATCACTGTCTGTCCCAAATCCCCCTCTGGCGGCCGTTCTCCTCCTGTGCAAGTTGCAAAAGATGAGGCTGAATTCTGCCACATGCGCAAAGACACCGTGTGAGTCTGAAAGCCTTATTTTTTTTACTTTAAATGAGTGCTCTGAATGAGATATAGTTAAAAGACTTTGCTGTTCAAATCTTTCTAAGAATCCGACTTTTAAAATTTATCCCTAGCCAAACATCTCCAAATTAATCGCGTAAGTTAGGTATTCATTTAAGAAAAAAAATAAAGTTTGTATGTCATATAAGAAAGCACACCAGTTTTGGGTGCCTTTCCTCCCAGATTAGATGTATACTGGTAGTCTTGGCAAACTGTGGTGTCAATAATGAAATTCTCATCTACTGGTGATAGTCTTCAGTGTCTTATGTCCACTAATTGCTCCAGCATTATAAACTTTCAACAATTTCAAGAAGAGGTGCACAAAACCTATTTTACTATTTTATTCATAATTTTCCTACCTTTTATTTCTTTCTTTCCCCTCACCTCATCACCTGCCAGCCCAACTTTGCTGTTCCAAAGCCTAGCATGGATTCAGTCCTTCCTTCACTTGAATTGTGCTGTTTAACCTCTGCCCTGAAGATAGGGCATGACATCCTTCCCAAAGGGATGAACTGGACTCACTATTACAGTATTCCTGATTTCAATGGTGATTTTTTAAATTTTTGCCACAATATTAAGAGGTTAGAAACGCTGCTGGTGAAAGGTCTTGTTGCAGTTCTGTTCTTAATCTGAAAGGACCAAACCCAATGTCCTCCCAAGGTGTGTTAGCTACCGGACTCAGGTTTACCTTCTGCTTTTTTCTTGTTGGATTTGATATTCATTCAGCCACAAGGAAGAAACTACAGCATGAGCCTGTCGCCGCTCAACGTGTGGATGCTTATTTGGGATAGGGAGTCCTGGGTCCTGCTCCTGTCCCTTTTGCCTATCTCAGTGCCAGCTAGATTTGTGACCCATGTGAAGGGAGACACCAGCTATATGCCACGGGTAATGACTCTTTTATCCTTTTTTTTCTTTAGGGTGGAATGTACATGTTGCAGCTTGTGGATACTTATGCAGCTTCTTATTCTCTCGTCATCATTGCCATCTTTGAGCTTGTTGGAGTTTCCTATATATATGGTAAGAAAAATTACTGTTGTTGGGTTGCCTATGTCAAAGTAACATTTTAGCATACGGTAAAGTAGCTGGTAACATGAAATTCTCGAGGAAAGGAGTAACACTTTATTTTATTTTTTAATAGAAAAAGCCTCAGAATTTCCTATTCTTTAACAAAGCATAATGGGACTTCACTACTATAGGATTCCTTCAAATATATGTATTCAAAAGACCTTAATATAGTCTAATGTCATTTTCCACCAGTAGCTTAAAGCCAGTGCTTAGAGAAGGGTGTAAGAATAGACCAGACATTTAGTGACACTTCTCCAGGGGTTCTTTCACACTACAACAGTTTTAGGCTGAGAGACTTCCTGAGCCAGGGGTGGTATCTTTGCATTTAACAGCTTTTGAAGGTTTTATTTTCCATGTACACATCCAGCCTTCCCTTTAGCCCATCTCTCTGTAACACAGAATCAAGCCTCTACGGCTTCTCAGAGCGATTAATTATGCCCAGTGGCAACACCAGTTATATTGATCCATGTTGATGTCCATGAGATTGTGAGGAAGATTGTCAGTTAATATGAAGCAGTGAAATGACGTTGATGCTACAGTAGCAACATCAGTTGGCACCAGCTGGTGATGCTCCCGTACTTGTCCAGTGCTTTCAGGAGATTGATTCTTGGAATTGTGTGATCTCAGGTGATTGTAGTAGTAAATGCGAAGATCTCCTTACATAAGAGATGATTAATTTATGTCTGGAGTATGGTGGTGCCACTTAAGACTTGTGTTCAAAAGCAAAGCAAGATCTGAATCTCAGTGTTAAAGATGACAAAGATAAGGCTGTTTCTGCTGTTGCTGTGGACAGGAATGAATGTTATATTTTCTATCAGCTGGACATTAACAGTCCCAGATGTACTGTTGAAGGTTCATATATAGCAGTATGATCTTAGGCTGTAGTCCTGTACACTGGACAGTTAGGTCTACAGACATTTTGGGCCTCACTGTGTAATATAAATGCATTTAAATGATTGTGCATAATTAAAAATGCAGGATTTGTTGCTCTTGCTTGTATGTTATAGAAAGGACAAGGAATCAGCATTTCCTTGTTTTCTCTAATTTTATGAAAATACAGAAGTGTATTTCTCCACTGACGTCCAATCCAGCAAGCAGGCCTGAGTGATGGTAAGCCAAGTCAGATAGGACCCAGCAAGGAAATGTTACAGAGTACAACAGAAAAAAGTCAAAACACTGAGAGAAAAGTTCATTTGGTTGATCAAAATGCTTGGGTTTTTTTATGTCGATGAATAGAGTAGGTTTAGAAGTGTCATGAATAGAGAAGGTTTAGAAGTGTCATCTCCGTGAGTGGAATGATATTGGTGACTGTTGTTCAGCTTTACACTCAGTCTTCTCAAAGGACCTGTGTGTAATGCTTTGAGATACCTCCTGAAGTGAAGTCTAGAGAGGGATTTTGAGGGTCATTTAGCAGAACTCCTGGCTTGAAATATCAGTGCTGGCAAGTTTTGTCATTGCTCTGTGCTTCGGTTTCCGTGAAGACATACAAAGTTTGCCCATTCTCTCCTCCCTTTTACCACCATGTTTAGCATTTACCTGTTCCTGTGGAAACACCACTGGGTACATGTCATTTGAGACATTAGTGTATTGTATGAACCAATTTCCCAGCTTTTGTAAAATCAATACAATTCCACAAGAGGTGGTGAGTGGGAATGCTCAAGAAGAGTATAAGGGTTTGTTTTGTTTTGATTTGATTTTTTCCCTTCTTCCCAAACCACGACACTCCTCGTCTTTTTGCTGAGAGCATTGCTGAACAATGCTCTGCACTGGATGTTGTCACTCTTCCTGGCCAGCAGTATCTACAGCATCCACCTGGTCTGTGCCAAAAAGATTGCCCCCTTTAAATCCATTGCCATAGAATCATAGAATCATTCAGGTTGGAAGAGACCCTTGGGATCATCGAGTCCAATCATCTACCCTACTCTACAAAGTCCTCCCCTACACCTCAGTACCGCATCTAAGTGTGGTATCAGTGTGCAAGATAAAAATTCCTTGCTCAGAATATTTTTAAATAACCCCCAAACTACTTAAATCTATAGATTTTCTTTGCTCTGTATGTTTTTTAAATAAAGGCGAAGGTGAGTATGGAGCAAACACCAGCTCTATTCCTCCTCTGAGCACTGGATGGCAGAAGCACTACAAACCTGCCTTTGTGGAACATTTTATTAGGCCTGTAAGTGAAATTGGTCTGGCTAGAGCCTGGTTTGCCCAACAAATTTAGTATCCCTTAAAACACTAACTTTTATCAAAACCATAAAATAATAGAGAAATAATTATAGCACTGCAAAGGAATGACTTGAATAGAGAATTTTTTTTTAAGTTACATATTACTTTAACAGAATCAAACTTGGAAAAGATCTGACAAATTACAAATCATTCTTTCTATGGTTAGTAAAGCTTTTGATATAAACTGTTTCAAAGATTGTTCCCTGGAATTAACCTTTTGCTAGACTAAAGAATTTCCAGTCTTTAACACAAAAAAGGAAAAACTTACTTTACAGTCATTATCCGCTTGACTAATGTATCATAGCTGCTTCTGCTGCATTAATGCTACTTGTCTAAGGACCGTTGGTAGGAATGCAGCTTGTATATTTGTGATTTGCATACTGTAAATACAAGTGAAGCTGCTGCTCTTGTTATATTCCTTCAAGCAGTGCTTAAAATTGGCATAATGTATTTTCAAGCTCTGACAATTGCCGTTTTACACTCCACTGACACCTTTCTCTGTATACTTGTACTCTTCGTAGCAAGCAGGTTGGCACAATAGTGGCAGGTGCTTTTATGATGAAATAAATCTGTCTTTAGTTCTTGTTACACGTTCTGCTTGCTGAGCGCGTTGAGATTTTTAAATTAAGAAGAGGCAGACTTGGTTATTTCCTTGCAATCATTTATTTTTCAGTAGAGTCGGTGCTACATAATCCAGTCAAATGCTGGGTTTTATTTCACATTCTGGTATAGATGTTTATTCTCCAGATGTTTAGATTATGATGCATGATTGGTAAAGAATAGCTTAGAGCTGTGGGTATTAATTTAATCATCAGTATAATTCCCACTGTTTCATTTTGTAATGGGAAGCTAAATACAGGGATCCTTGTGCTTGAGTGAAACACTGCTGGAAGCTGAAAAGCATGACCTTACCTTTACTCAGGGTCCTTCTAGATCTGTTTTTTTGACAGTCTGTCGTTGGGAAGGTTCATCATCAGAGTGAGTGGTAACTGCTGCCGTGCATTTGTAGTAAGTGTTAGTAATATTGAACATTTTACCTGTTGCAGAATATTGAAGTAGCTGTCTGTCTTGATTTGCGTCCTCCTTTTTAATGAATTTTCTATCTGCAGCACTTCTGAATGCATCGTCCCTCTTCAGAGAGTGGGAATTGAGATACGGAATATCGTGTATTGTTTATTTCCCAAAGTTATTCAGCAGGCCTGACTGATCTGAGAGAGAGACCAGATATACTGAGATTCAGTCGGCGTTCTGTTAACTAAAGCATCCTTTGCAATTTTCTGTGGAACCTGACAAACTTACTTTCAGTCTTTCACTGGGAAAGAGATGAGAACTGTGTAATCCCTCTACCTGTTTACATGCATTTGGCTCCTGAACTGCTAATATTTAAAAGTGCCTCAAACTGTGAATATCCACTGACAATTCCAAGAAGGAACTAAATACTTTAATTGGAGTTTCAAACAAATCTGTGCAGATTTGCATGAAGCTTGCGTGAATTTTGGAGGCAGAAGACCCTGGGAACTCTCCAGTGAGGTAGATCTCCTTTGCAGCAGCAAGTGTAGCTGAAGTAGAGAGACTTGGATGAGCCTTAAACTTTGTGGAAAGGCCCTCCAGCCCATACCTTGTGCTGCTGCAATTAGTATAAAACTAGTTTTGATGCCGGGGATGCTGTGTGAGCATCTCCCAGGTAGCTTGCTGCAGATGGTGCACTGAACTGTAATAAGGAGATAATTAAAACACATAAAATCATTCAGTTGCAGCTACGATCTCCTTTTGGGGCCAGAAGACAGGGACCCCGGGGGTTAGGGTCAGCCCAGGCATATGAAGCTCTCTAAGGAAATGGAGGAGCACACGATGAGTCGAACAGATGCTGAAGGATGGTGATTCCATGGGTTGTAAAAATTGCATGTATTTTACAGAGGAGAGAAGAGGCTTTCTGAAGAAGAGCACTTGCTGTAGTTGGTAGAAAAGAGAAAAAGAGAGAGAGAAATTACAGTTACAGAAAAAATGCAACATCTGTGTCCCCTTGGGTTAGCTAAGCTTACATCTGCTGCAGGTTGTACTTCCCCTCACCCCCTCAAACGCAGTTCTTTGTAATATCATTTTCTTGTTTAATTTCCGGATTTTTCTCCTCTATTTCTTATCATAACACAGTTTTTTAGCTTTGCTCTGCACCATCAAGCCCTGCTGCTTTCTTGGAGGTGCATCAGAAGACTGACAATATTTTGAGCCTTTGCTATTTTTTACCTTCTTAATTCTGGGAACAGCCTGGTGGATAGATTTAGTTCAACAGGAAGGCTTCAAAAATAGGTGGATCAAGCCTGGGGATTATCCCTTCTTATATTCAGGAGCTGCAGTGGCTGACTATAAGGGCAATAAAATCATAAAGTAGTTTATTACTTTTGCTCCAAGTATTTCCTCCTTTACTCAGTGACTTCTCTCCAATATTTGAGCTTCAGCTCTGTCTCTATATCATGAAATTGGACTAAATGCTCTAGAATAATGCTTTGTAAAAATTAAATGACAGACTATTGCTTTCTCTATTAGACAAAATAAATCCCAAATTGGCATTGTTTGTGTGACGGAGGAGCTCAGCCCTGGACCCCCGGCCTCCCTCTTCTTGTCCTCATTAGAAAAGCTGGAACAAATTCCAATTTTGTTTTTATTAGTTCTGGAGAAATTAGGGGCCATGTACCTAACCAGCTCTGCAGAGCAAGGCAGAAAAGCAAACTGGCTTTTATCAGCTGGGCAATCGCTGCTGCTGGGCCAACACCTTTTCCAGTCACACGGCGTGGCCAGAGAGACAGCTGAGGAGATGGCTGAAAAAATACCATTTTCCCATCTTGCATGCTTTATTAACTCAAGTAAATTTATAGAGGCAATCAATACAATAATCTGAAGAATCAACATGTCAGTTGATCTGTTTGTTCAAACAATATTGAGTATAATTTAAAATATTTACAGGTGCTCTCTGATAATTCTAAGTATTGCTTACATATTAAATGAAAAAGAAAACGTTAGCAGTTTCAGTGCTAAGTGATACGGTCACAGCCCAGTCACATAGTAGGTGTAGAGAAGCTATAGATAGATAGATATCTATATAGATAAATATAGGTATTGTCTATACTGAGACAGATACACAGATACTAAGAAGGTTCTTCTTCACAGAGAAATAACAAGTGTGCACATAATTGCAGCTCACCAGTATGTGCTATTAACACTTTAACCCGAAACGTACCGAACATTTAATCTCTATGTAAAAGCTCAACTTTGCTTTAATCCTCAGGAAGTAAATATTTTATTAGAATGGTTCCCTCCATAATAGTCTCGTTTTTTACTGTGTGGTTAGACCCTCCATTGAAGTTCTCAACCCACAAGTCAGAGTTTGTTTTGGTAATTAGATGCAGGGGAGATCACGAGAGCGATGTTGCAAACTGCAGCTGGCTTCTTTCACACCTAATTGCATTTACATTTGCTCCTTACAGGATTGCAGAGATTTTGTGAAGATATAGAAATGATGATTGGATTCCAGCCAAGTAAATTCTGGAGAGTCTGTTGGGCATTCGTGACCCCAACGATTTTAACAGTAAGCAAAATTCTTCTGAATGTCTTCTCCAGAGCGTTTTGTTGTTGTTTCTTCATCAGTCCTGACTTTTCTGAACAGCAGTAATTCCGCCCTGGATGCAGATACCTAGGCACACGCACACAAGTGTGTGTAGTAGAAAAAAAGAGCATAAGTAAGGGTATTTTTGGTAGAGAAGGGATGGTGGGTCTCCAAATGCCGCAGTGGTGGCTGTGCAAAGTATTAGTATGGCATACTATTATATTCCAGCAGTATAGGTTACTGTGGACATGTGCAATATATATGTGTGTATGTATACACATAGAAAGAGAGGGGAAATTAGATGATCCTCCTGTCGTTTCACAGATTGAGCTAGGGAAAAAAAAAGTCATTGAGTCATAAAGTAATGTAAAAAACAAGCTCTGGAAAGGCTAACATGGAAATTTGAGTGACAAAGTTTTAGATGCAAAAGTGGAGATAGTTTTGCAAAGGTCGATGTAATTGTGTTCTGGATAACAAAGGGAAATCAGTGCAGTTTCTCTAAACAACGTAAAGGAGCAGGAGGGAGAAAAAAGGGAGGGAAAAGTGAAGGGAAAAAAGGAAAGAAAAAGGGAAAGAGAAGGAGAAAAAAGGGAATAGAGCAGAAAAAGGGAAAGAAAAAAGGGAATAGAGCAGGAAAAGGGGAAAAAGGGAAAGAAAAAAGCAAGAAAAAAGGGAAAAGTACAGAAAACGGGAAAAAGGGGGAGGAAAAAAAGGGGGGGAAGAACAGAAAAATAGGGGGGAAGGAAAGAAAAAGGGAAAAAAGGAAGAAAAAAGAAGAAAGAAAAAGGGGGTAAATAAAAGAAAAAGAAGAGAGAAAACAGGGGGAAAAAGGAAAGGGCATAGGCACTTGTGTTCGCAGAGCCCCGAGGCGCTGAGGCCGCGGGGCGCCCGGTCCCGCCCTGCCCAGCCCAGGCGGCCGGAGCCCGCGGGGGGTGCTGTTCTCCGCCGGCACCGGCAGGTGGCGCTGTGCGACAGCGGCTGGCGGCGCTGCGGGTGCTGCTGGGCATTCACCTGCAGAGGCTTGATTCACAAAAACATAAGTAGATTTTTCAAATTTAAAGGGAGGTTGTGGGGGTTTTTGGTTGGTTGCCTGGTTTTGGTGGTTTTTTGTTTGCTTTGGGGTTTGGTTTAGTTTTTTGTTTGTTTCGGGTTGTTTTATTTTGGGGATTTTTTTGTTGTTTGGTTAGTTGGGTTATTTTTTAATTTTGTTTTTATATCCACCCTCAAGCCTGGAATAAAGCTTTACTTCAAATTTAGATCTCCATTTAATCTCAAAGATGGCACTTCCTTAATTTTGCCATTGCTACGCATGTTTTTTTCAAGTCCCAGAATCCAAGTATAATATCTCCATCTACATTTTCTGTCTAGCTCAATGTTTCCTTTACATTTGAACCCAAGTACAGATAAAATTTTGAATTGCATATCGTGTTTTGGCACAAGAATAGAAGAATTCCTTGAGCCATTTCAAAAGCTTTCAGCTTGGTAAGTCAGCATAAAACCACTGAACCGTCCTTCACCAGGATTTTCTGTTTGAGAGCACATCTTTCAGCCTGAAAGTCCTCAGGCCTGGACCACCTGTGTGGCAAGATTATCAGTATTTGCGTAGGGTTGTAAAAACTCATTTCACAGCAGTGCTAAATAGTTCCTACAAGTATTCATAGATCTTTAGGGACGAGATTAGAAAAGTTACTAGAATTTCTATTAAGACACAGGTGTGGAGACAGTGTGGGGTCTGCTGGGTGGGGTGAAGAAGCAAAATGGTCATTCCATCACCTGCAATTCCTTTTTCTAGAGAAGTTGTATTTCAGTTTATATGCTGAGAAGTTCCTATTAGTGCAGTTCTTTTGTGCAGCATAAACATTGGTAAATCTTTTTATTTCTAGGGGAGAGATGGGAAAGGCTTTGGATAAAGTTAGCAAATTCTTTCTGGTATTGTTAATTCAGGAATTAGGTGGGATATTTTTTTTTTCTGAAAACTGGAAAAGGTTTAGTTTTTGTAGACAGGAGCGTATGTGGGAAGGCATTAGTGAGTTTTGGTGGGCTCGACCTGAGTTGTGAGCAAAAGAAATCTATAATGGTAACAATTTCTTTAATGGGCATAATGAAGATATTCTACCCTCCCAAACAGATTTTTTTTCTCTGCCTATTCTCTTTGCTGAGGTACAGTATTGCTGTGCATGAAAACCAGGTAGATCTGGCTTAACTATCCAGTGGCAACTGTTTTTTGTGGAATATCTAGGTATTGTAAATTCATTTTTAAAAGTTTGAAGATGTAGCCCAATTTAATCTATAGTATTAGGATAACATTTTTTTTTTCCTTTGGAGGGTTGTGTTAAAATGAGGGCCTGTGCACATTTTTTAAAATACCTTTTTTTGCTTCCAATGGCTGTTTTCAAGATACTGCCTTAGAGCCATTGTTACACTTCTGAAGGGAATTGTAAGGCTTTTCTGCAAATTGCTCGGTTCCTTCACTGATCAGACTTGCACTCTTAGCTACTGCCAGTAATCACAACCAGGGAATAGAAAATTACGTTGTCTCTTAAGGAAAGCAAGTTTGGAAAGCAAACAAGGTCAGTTCAAACTTGCATGTTCTGTTGTTGTTCCCTCCAAATGTAATATTTAGCGAACGTACAGTGAGAAATAAATTGGTACTGATCAGTTGTAATTCAATTTTTACGCACTGGAAACAGACAAAGCAAAACCAAGCAATACATCCTTTTCTGTTATTGCCCTGTAAAGCTAATATTTGATACATTTGGATAGTCTAATATTAGACTTTCAATTACTGCACATCTCTGGAAATAAAACCGATCATTTTTATACGTGTCTTCACCTAGTTATACTGCTATAAATCTTCTGTGTGCAATTATTGCAAGCACAGGCATTTCCCAAAAGTTACTGAATTATGCAGAAATGTAAGCAGATGTATTGCTATTCATACAGTAAGTGAAATGGAGTAACTTAGCATAATCACATTAGGTAAAACTGCCAATAGACCATGTAATAAAGCATGTTACTCTAGGGGCAAGATTCTAATTTCAATTCTTTTGGCATAAATACAGTGATTTTTTTTGTGGGATTTTGCAAGATTTCCATGAAACTCATTAGATTCAGACTCTGAGCTGTTTATTACAGCTTGTGGCATCGCCCTGCTGTAGGTGGATGTACTTTTATCTGTATTCAATGTATCTGTGTGTGAATACCTACCACTGGCTGCATAGCAGCCTTGTTTTGCTTTTTCAAATGTGTTTGTTTTTCTTCCTTCTTTCCAGTTTATTCTTTGCTTCAGTTTTTACCAATGGGAACCGATGACGTACGGAGCTTACCACTACCCAGGCTGGTCCATGGTGCTTGGATGGCTGATGCTGGCCTGCTCAGTTATCTGGATCCCAGTTATGTTCGTGATAAAAATGCACCTAGCCCCAGGCAAATTTATCGAGGTAATTCTTCTGCCTTTTTTGCTGCTTAAAAATACAGTCGCAGGAGACTGCCTGTTTTATTTTACATTGATTTTTGTGATATTGAATGTCTAATAGTGCTAAGATTGCTTTCTGGTAAACTACTTATTGTGTTGCGAAGAGATGCTCAGTTGATTTAAAATGCAGACCTTCTATTTCCTGTTCCTCCAAAAAAAAAAAAAAAGAAAAAAAAGAAAGAAAAAAGCTCCTAAATTGTTAAGCTATTGCTTTTATGAGAACTAGAAGGAGTTAGAAATTTTCTGTGCCCCGGTGTGGTGTTACTGAGTGAAAGTTGTTCCCCTGGCTCTGTTGGCCTCGTTGCCAAAGCAGTGTGCAGCCATGGGAAGGATCAGCTGCTGGTGCATCGTTTCGCCCCAAGCCCAGCGCTCCGTGTCAGGAACGGTCCATCAGGAGTCGCCTGTTTGTGGAGTGTGAGATGGTTGGGTACCCGAGGCATCCAGGATGCGCTCCAGGAGGCTGTGCCACTTGATGAAGTTCATAGAATCATAGAATGGTTAGAGTTGGAAGGGACCTTAAAGATGATCGAGTTCAGGAATAAGACCTCCTGCTCCACAGATGAAGCTACTCATTAGAACACTTAGCTGGCAATCTTTTCATTCCCCCTTCTTCATCTCTATTTTTCTTGACTATGCTGATCTTCTCTGGTTCCTGGGCTTAAAACACCTCCAGGTGCACTTTATTTACATGCTGCTTTGGTTTATTTTGCCAATCAGATTCCTGCTGCTTTCCTGCTGCCACTCCAGAAACATGGCAATCTCCTTCTGCTCCCTACCTCTGTACCTTGGCCCTCCCTGCCACCCCAGCTGCCACCACAGCATGATAGAATGGAACTGTCTAGGTGGGAAGGGACTTTTAAGATCATCCAACCATTAACCTAACACTGCCAAAACCACTGTCCTTAACCACCATGTCCTTAAGCACCATGTCTACCCATCTTTTCAATACCTCCTCCGCTCCTTGCAGGATGTGGTATGGCGATGTGTTTCTCATGTTGGCTTTTCATCCCTTTGTTGCATTCACCTTGTCATCTGAAGAAGTTCAGTGGTCTCATTTTTGGCCTTTGAGGCTTTCTCAGCTCTGTCCTCTCCTCACTGCACACTGCTTGTGCTGCTCCCTCCTGGAGATAAGGAACAGACACTCACCTCCCCTTTTCAGCTCTTCTGCAAACCCCATCGGGGCTGTTACATGCCTCAAAAATGAAAAGGAGAGAATATGTACTAAAAGAGAATAATCTTTTGGTCTCTCAATATGTCACACTACACATGCCTAAGGGAAAAGACAGAGCTTTTCTGCTTCATGTGGAGAAAAGGAGTTTAATATTAAGTGGTGGGACACCCTCAGGAGAGCATCCAAGCACACGGTTGGCACCAGGCAACAAGGGCACTTATCTAAAGGGCCATTCAGCTCTTGTGGGGAGCATGTTGGAGCGCACAGGTCAGGAGACAACTGCTCGCTACTGGACATGAAATTAAACATAGTTGTTTATCGTCTCATAAGTTTCTCTTATTGAGACAAGTTGTTTTGCTTCAAATCTTCTCACTTACATGCGTAGTACTGGTATATATAGAACGCCACAAAAACAGGGTGCTCTCCTTAATGTCTCTCTTGTAGCGCACCCAAAGAAACACCAAAAAGTTGGGTCTGTTTTGAAGGGGGCTTTTGCTGAAGCTATTTCAGATGTAGCTCAGTATTTCCAGAATACTCAGTCTGCTGCATAAAATTATTATGGTTGATTTGGGAGGTAAGAGTTGCAAACTGGTAATTAAGCAGAGATTAAAATAACCGATATAGAGGTCTGATTCACTTTATTAGGTAATAAACATATAATTGTTCCCTCTTAAGTCATCAGAAATATGTTTTCTTTCCTTTTTATCTGTAAATGCGCCAATCAAATTATATATTCAATAAAGAAATCAGCAGAAAGATTAGAAGATTTTTGTTGTTTTCCAGGTTAACATTCTCCTCTTCCTTTTTTCCTGCAGATCGAAATGAAACATTTTGTCATCTCAAAATTAAAATCTTTCTTCATTCATAGCAATGTACTACTTTTTGGTCATTTGTAGACTTGTGGGAAATATGCTAAACAGAAATCCAATTATTTTAATGCAGTTACCCACTGCTTAGACCATTGGATTAAGTAATTGGGCACATGTCCTTCAGTAAGCGAGCTGCGCAATCTGTAGCGGTGGTTCTGAGCTCCCCTCATATGGTGTGGGGGAGAATGTCTAATTAAAATCTGGGCACTTTATCGTCTATTAATCTTGCAAACTTTGTGCAAAACAAACACTGAGCAGTGGAGCGTTGCAGGGCTCCATCATCAATAATCTCAAATGAGCCTATCCTCATTTCTTCTGCGCTGTAATTCTGCTCTGTAACTTCAAATGAGACTCTCTTTTCTCTCCCCCACCTTGCAGCGACTCAAGTTGGTGTGCTCTCCACAGCCTGATTGGGGTCCCTTTTTGGCCAAGCACCGCGGTGAACGGTACATGAATATGATCGATCCACTGGGAACCTCTTCCCTGGGACTTAAACTGCCAGTGAAGGATATAGAACTGGGAACCCAATGCTAATATTTATTACGTGGGTGGCAATAACGTTGTCAGCCTCCTCAGATATTTTTCTTCCATTTTGTTTCCTCGCCTTTTCTTCTTTTCCTTTTCGCAGCGCCTGAAAGTGGTTGCTTAGGAAAGTAGGACTCACTGTTGCATGCCATAGGGAAGACCTAGCTAGACCACTTCCAGGTGTAGGTGTTGCCCGTGATGTGTTCTGGACCCAGTGAAACAGCAAAAACCTGTTGTGCAACGGGTGACATACCAGGTTTTGTCAGGTGATGTAGGAATAAACAAAACACAATGGAAAAAAAAAAATCCTTTAAGGAAATTGTGTGCAGAATTTGACCCATTTCACACAAGTAACAGGTCACTATGGTTAGGACTAGGATTTTGTTACCAGTGTGACCAAAGGGAAGTTCTGCCTCAGATGGGATGGAAGTGAGCAAAGAAGGGGGTCTCCTGTAGGCTCAGGCATAAGGCTCAGACAGTAAGCGGGGTCGCTTTGTCTGCACTGAGAGCAGCCTTGATCCCTTGTGCCTGTGCGCTCTTTCCTGAGTATGAATTATACTGACTTTGAGGACCCTTTAAATAGCACACCAGGAAGCAATATGGGAGATCTGAACAGAAACACAATAATCCATTTGGTCTTTTCAAGTAGAAAAATAAAAGCAAAATTTAAAGAACTTTTAGACTGGGACTAAACTACATTTGAGTCTAGAAGTGGTTTGGAAATGGCGCAAGACTGAGGTTTGTGGGCATCACTGCTTAGAGTGCTGTCATACATTTCTTTTGATAATTTGATATCTGTTATTTCAATTAAAAATGCCTAAGTTATAGGAAGTGTCTAAATCCTTGCTCCAACCTAAGTGCAGCTGTGGTTTTACTCACTTCAGTCCTCTGAACGTAGTTTTCCTCGTTTCTTTGCTTTTGGTCACAGTATCTTCTCAAGAAGCCATCATATAATTTGTGCCTAACTTTATATTCTTACAGTGGTAAGTGTAGTCTAGTTACCACCCGACAACAGTTATTAGAAGTTAGATGTGCTGTTCAACTTTGTGACTCCCCGTTCATTCTCCTATAATTCTCCTCTTTATATAACCTTAGACGATGTATTCTTCTCTTTCAACCAACGGGGAAATAGCAGAACCCCACTTGTCTATATATTATATATATAGCACGTAAATTCTTCAAAGCAGTATTCTTTCTGAAATGTACATAGGTTTTGGTTGTTTTATTTTGTTTTGTTTCTTTTTTTTCATTTAAAACATTTTCATTAAATAAAAAAGAGGAAACCCCCAGCAATTAACCACTGCAGTCATCCACAGGGATGCAATCTTAGATATACAAAATGTGAGGGTTGGGGGGAGAGGACAATTTAGTAGATGGCCATTACAACATTCCATAGCAATAGGACATTCTAAATCAGTACATTTTAGAAATCAGATATAAATGATGATAGGAATATTAGACTTAAATAGTTTTGTTACCTATTGGGCAGAGTCAAAATAGAGCTTTTTAAGAGTACATTTATTTATCTGAATATAAAATTAGCCCAATTTATTGTAAATGCACTAGAATGAGGGAGAAAAATATATCTTCAATAATTGGCAAAACTGTAACCTTTACTATCTTGTTATATCCTATACATACAAATATGATATTTTTTAACAGTGCTCAGTGTTCATGTAGTGTGTACTAGTGATGTTTCCTGTCCCTATAAGTATCTTATCAATCAGTGTAGAGACGGTGAGCTTAGAGTAGTTTAGCCTGTTTTTTCCTTCCCCCCCCACACCACTGTAGTAGCCAGTAAATGTTCTTTCCTTTCAGGGGACCGTTTCTACCCCGATCTTTTTGTCTGTCTGTCTTCATATTACAGGGTCTCAGGTAACTCTTCAGTTCATGTGTGCCCGTAGATCAGTAGACGTGTTGTTTCATCCTGTCAAGGAAAACAAAACCTAAACCTTAACGTTACACTTTCATTTTCTCTCTCTGTGTGTGTATATATATATGTATATTGAATATATTAATCATTTTGCTGAACATCCTCTTTCACGGGGCAATTAGTGTTGCCGGTTCCAGGCACTGCTGGAGACCTTTAATCCTCATGCAGGACAAGCCAAGCGCCATCACCAGGGGTTGTCCTGTCCCTGAATCTCCACTCCGCTGGCTCTGTTGGTCCCCGTCTCACGCGGTGGGCGGACAGGACCCTTCTCTGAGCTTCTCTGCCTTAAAGCTGTGCCCCCCAGTTCCAGCTTTGCTTGCTATTTTAATAAGGGGGTTTGCTGTTCTTTCTTCTGGCTTTTATTTCCCTGGCAGAGGCAGGTTCCAGAAGCCACACTCTGCTTGATGTAATGAAGGTCCATAAAGATGAGCTGGAAATTTGGTCCCCATGTCTACATGGGGCTGAGGGGTCTTCTCTGGGTGAAGAAAGAAACCCAAGTCGGCATCTCTAGTGGTAATGATGTATTTTCATCAGGATAAATAGCTTTAGGTCTCTCTTAACCAATATTTCCTAGCATCTTGGGTTTATTTTTGGAGTCCAGGCTAGTTTCTTTGAACTACTATTGTGGTTAAAAACCCCCAAATAAGTCCATAGGTTTGTTCCTGTTTTAAAAAAAACCAAAACACTCAAGTCACTTAACAGTTTTCTGAATCCTTTCACTTAATAACCTGTCTCAGGACATGTGCTGGAACTGGGATTAACTAATTGCAATAAAATTACCTCGGTGTAAGGATGTCAGTTACTGTCTTACCTTAAGTATAAAAGAGATATCATTGGAAGGAAAACTGCAAGGTTATTCTATCTTTCCTTTGGCTGGGATTACCAAACTGGAATGAATATGAAAAATTGAATTGCTTTCCATGATTTATGTAATTAATCTGCTTGCTTTTAATTTAGATGTTGTTCCTGTGCCTGCTAAGTCATTAGCACAGGATTAGGCTTGACTTTGAAACTCCGAAAACAGATGATAGTGATTTTATTCTAGCGGATACTTGTCTTCAGCTTTGACCTCTATTGCTAGGCTTGCAAAAACTTTTGGAGAGGAGGGAGAAATTAATACAAAATCACAGAGGATATGAAGTTTTCACTGTATGTTAAAAGCAGATTTTTTTTTTTTTCTTCATATTAGGCTTTTTTAAAAGTATTTCACTGGCCAAATCTGAATGTTGAGATTAAATTAACCAGCAGTGTCTTCTTTAAATGAGAAGTAACCTTAAAGTTTGGGAATGCACTTCATGTACCATGTTCTAGGAAAAGTTTGCATGTACTTTGATAATTTTCTAAAAATAAATTTAGTAACTAATTAAATACCAGTAAAGATCTTTAAAAAAAAAAAAAAAGAGGGGAAAAAGCCATATTAGTAAAAATGTGATGTACGTACTTGCAGATCTATCTATCTTGTGAGTAAAAAATGTTCAAATTTGGTGAAAATACTTATGTTGCATATTTTTTCTTTGAAATGAAATTGCATTTCTGGATGAGCTGAGATGCATTATTGTATGCATTAAAGATTATACTTAATGCAAATGCTTGCCATCTTCAAATTCTTTGGGTCTTCCTAGTGTTTTTAATATGCAATGTTCAAAACCTGTGTTTCAGCTAGACGCGGCAGCACTTTGTTTCCAAAAGAAGGGTTTAACAAAATGACCTTTAATTGAAAAAAGACTTGGATTGCCTTTATGTGATGTTTCAATTGGGTCAAAGTAGTCTTTTGATTAGGTTCTGCTCCACTGACCACATTAGATGTGCCTCAGCACTGAAGATCATCGCTTCCGATACACTGTGTGGCTATCTCTTACCATGAAATTCCCACACCTGATTTAGTTTGAATTCCTTTGGTCTCTTTGAATATATGTATGGTTGTATGGATATGATTTCTTGTTGCCTGTGTTAAAGCTATTGCTTATTTATGGCAGACGTTGGTTTCTTACTGGTTTCTTACTCTGCAGCTCTGCTTTTTCTTGCAAGGGAAAGATTTCTTGTAGGGATTGTGGGTTGCAGGCTGCAAAGCCTCGGCAAGCGGCATCCCAGAAAGCGTCTCTGTTTTGCTATTAACACTGTAAGAGACACTCGTTTCTTAGTTTGTAGTTAAATGGTGTGCATGTCAAATATCTGTCAAATGGTCAGAGCTTGATATTCCCGAGGGACTCAGGTTGATGACTTGGGGTGGGGGGGGGGTGAGGGGGGAGGGGTACGGGGGTTTGGGGGTTCGGCCTTTGTCACCCTCGGGCAGCCCCTGGCC